AGATGCTTCATGCTGGTGCCTTCCCCTTCAGTTTCTTCTCATAATCTGCCACGATATGAGGAGCTGTCTTGATAAGTTCCTCCCTTGAAATCCATCGATGTTCCTTAGGATCAGTATGATGCCTGAAATGTACTCTGTTCCTTGCAGGTTTAGGAGGTCGGGAAGGCGAAGAACCGGCGCACAAGGCACCACCTTCTTGAGGGCACGAAAAGCATCCTCGCAGAGGGGTGTTCAAAACCATGGCGGGTTCTTCGGGATGAGGGTGGAGCTAAGGACGTAGGAATACCTGCCGTATTCCCGGATGAAAGCACTATAGTAACCAATGAGGCTTAGGAAACTGCGAAGCTTCTTGGTGGAGGTAGGGGTCGGCCACTCTGTGATAGCAGTGGTTTTCCCGTCATCCATGTGAAGACCCTGGTCAGACACATGGTGTCCAGACACATTGTGTCCTAGAAAGTTCACTTCGCGTTGGGCAAAGCGGCACCTACTTAGCTTGGCATAGAAGTCATGCTTGCGTAAGCGCTGTAGGACATTACGGGGGTGTCTGAGATGGTTCTGAGGTAGGACTGTAGACCAAGATGTCATCCAGGTATAGAATAACATATTCTTCAAGGATATCCCTGAAGATATCATTCATCGTCGTCTGGAAGGTGGCGGGTGCATAAGTGAGGCCAAATGACATCACTGTGAACTCCTAGTGACCGAAGCGCGAATGGAAGACGATCTTCGGCTGGTCCTCTGCGGCAACGCGGATCTCGTGGTAACCACTACGAAGATCGATCTTCGTAAAGAAACGGTTGTCTGCCAGACGGTCAAACAGCTCATTTGCGCGAGGCATGAGATAGTTGTTCTTATCCGTCTAACGGCTTAGGCCGCGATAATCAATGCAGAGGCAAAGGGTTTCATCCACTTTGTGAGCGAAGAGGACGGGTGCACCCCAGGGGGAAGTACGAGGTTTAATGAAACCAAGTCGAAGGAGTTTCTCAAGCTGACGCTTAGGTTTCTTCACCTCTGGAATCGAGAGTCGGTACGGTATCTGATGATGGACACGATAGTCAGGCATGAGCTGGATAGAATGCTCAACATTGCGCACAGGAGGGATCCCATTGTATGAAAAATATGGGGGAAAGACGTCATGGTACTCTCCAATCAGGTCACGAACGACAGGTTCTAAGTTGGACGTGAACTGCGCAAGTTCCACAGCGTCTGCCTCAATACAAGACATGTGTGTGGACTCGTCAGTGGACGACGGAGGAACACGGGATGTTGAAGGGGTATCCGCAAGCTGAGAGGTAGATGAAGAGTTGAGAGCCGCAAAAATGGAGGAAGAGTCAGCGGGATCGGGTTCCAAGGAGATGAGCTCAACGTTTGCAGACAGGGGATCATACTGAAGAAGATCCATAACGTTCACCGAGTAGAGGGTAACGTCTTCCTGGAACAGGAAGTGAGCAAACTGGCAGACATTGGTGAAGGCAATGTCCGAGTGGGACCTTGAAGGATGAGAATCCTGGGGAGGTAGGTCGGGAGGGGTGTCGCCCGTGGTAGCAATGAAAAGGACTCGATAGGTCTGACCACACTTCGTTTTGAGAATAAGTGTCTTGGTCGTGCATTTGGCCTCTATGCCATAGAACTTGCGAGACCAAGGAGTGTCAAGGATAAAGTCGTACCCAGTCTCCAACATGTCGAAGTATGCAGAGGAGCGGTAGCGCCAAGGCGCCTAGGTACTATCCGATGGTTGGAGGGTGAGGGAAGGTGGGACCGTCTGATCGCAAAAGCAACGCGTCTTGTTATCTCCGAGGGTAACTGAGATAGGAGAGTGAGACTAGGAGGTAGCTAGACGAGCTTCCTCAACCACGCGATGGTGAACAAAATCCCCCTGTGAACCGGAGTTGCATAAAGTTCGGTATACCCTCATAGATCTCCCAAGGCGAATAAGAATAATGGTGAGGGTGCGATCAAGGTCAGAGAGCAGAGCGAGAAGACGACACAAGACGTTTCCGTGTCTCGTGGGTCTCTCCTGACGAGCCTGAAGAATGCTCAAATCCAGGAGAGATGATACAACGTCATCGTGAGTTGTCAGCTGAGTTCTATAGCGAGCTGTGCGAATGGCGTGACGCGTCGGAAGTCTCGGAGGGGAAGGACTAGATGCCGCGGTCTGCTGTGTGGCAGACGGTACCTCAACAGATGGCGGGGCATACGGAACTGCGTTTATCGTGTCTTGAGGATCCTCAGGTGTGGTAGCCAAAAGGGCAAACCAATTGCGGGAAGCCTGCTACGTGCGAGGCCTCGGCGGTACACCGCACCGTGGCTGACTGGATAGAATTGGGCGAGCAGGAGCGGGGAGGGGGGATTGAGATCGGCGCTGACGAGAAATGTCAGCATAGTGTCGTTCAAGGGCAGCATGGTATGGACACCGTGAGGACATGTGTCCATCCTGGTGGCAACAAACGCAACCGCGACAGGCCTCAAGGGCGCCGTGCTCCTCAAGTGATAAGGCTCTGCGACGAGGGACGAAACCCTGCGGAAGATCCACCTAAGAAACAGTAAACATACGGGCGCCAGCCTGTGCAAGCCGATTGCGAGCACGGCCCATGTCGAACATCGCTATCTGCAAGCGGTCGGCCATTGGGACAGTCTCGTCATCCAAGTGGTATTGGATGGCATCCCGAAGCTCGAGGTCCTTGGGGGCGTCCCCAAGGCTAGGGTCGACCTCTGTTGTAGAGTCGTCGCCGTACTCGAGGGAACTATAGCGCCGAGACTGAGTTGAGTAGTGAAAGCGGCCGAAGAAAGAGGAGCGGCCTCAAGCGTTGCCGTAAGACTGGGTGGTAGCGGCGGTTCACGAAGAGGATGAGGCGTCAAAGAAGCGACTCCGCATCCTTTGGTACTGTCGAGCAACCTTGTAGGTTTGTTCAGTGGACGAGAAGGTCTGTCTCCAAAGATCTATGCGGTAATCAGGCAGGAGACTGGCAAAAAACCTGTTGGTCAGAAGACCCTCTGGTAGGAGTGTCTCATCGCAAATGAGGCGGGCATCCTAAAACACCCGGATATGACACTCCAAGTTTGTCGGTGCCGAGGACCCGGGCCATCAGGTTTGGGTGACCCTGTCTAAGGTGTTGGTTGCGTCATGCCAAGTACCATCATAATAGTGGTCTTGAAGATAGGCGGTGAAGTCCGCAAAAGTGGGAGTCTCACCTGTGCGAGTACGATGGGTATAATAGCTCTCCCAGGTGGTGAAAACACCACCTCGCAATGTAGTTGCGAGCAGAGAGCACCACAACTCCTAACTAGTGTTCGGCAGTGTCAATGCGTGTGTGCCTGCCTGCAACCAATGCGATACACGAAGTGTGTCATTTTGGTCTGGAATATCTGACAGGTGCACAAAGGGGGGACCGATGTGTTGACGGCGAGGGGAGAGAGGTTGAGGGGGCTGCACTGCAGCGACAAAAGTCGGGGCCCATGCAGGGCTGGAAGTGAGAGCAGGTTGTGGGCCGTAGCCGCTGATGAAAAGACCAGCAGAGCTGGAAGCAACGGTCGCAGGCAGCTATGACGGAGTGGCAGGGTAGGAGGGTAGAGGTGGAGGAGCGAATCCAGGGAACCGAGCCTACAAGACCGATGTAGTAGTGAAGGAAGATGAAGGTTGAGCAGCCTGAGAAGGGTGAGGCTGTCTCAGGGTAAGTATCTCCACCTGGAGTTGTGCCTCGATGGCCTACAAGGTAGTCGCTCGTTGGGTGCGACGGGTCGGAGGTGGAGTAGTCGGAGAGGGTACCCTGGCAAAGGGAAATGAGGAGACCGGGGGGGAGGAACTCTAAATCGTAATGTCGCGACCGGTGTGGGGAGCTGGGAAACAACACCGGGATGTGTTAATGAGCCTGTTTGGCCAGCTATCGGTGTCCAACAACGAGTGTCTACGACAACCGTTAAAGCGGCATGACCGGCAGGAGCAGCAGGGGTGGATAAAGGTACCGCAACAGACGGGGTGGTCCGAGCGGCAGCGTCACTCATTACTACAAAGGGTGAGTGTTGGGTCTAAGCCAGGGAGGAGGGGGAACCACCACGTCTCCGTGTCTGGAGTAGTGAGGAACCGGACTGGGACCTGGTAGGGGATAGAGTATGGGAGTTGTAGGGGGGATGATGGGAAGATCCCTTGAGGCAGTTGGCGTTCAGGGCGAGCGCATTGAGTTGCGCTTGCATTGTTGCGAGGAGGGTCGTGAGGACGATCTCAAGATCCATAGGGTCTGGCTGAGAACTGTCGGTTGAACGGGCATCTGAGAAATGGATGGCGCCACAACAATCTTCTCGGATGTACTCGGATGGATGGATTGGAGTAGACATGGCGGGAGCTGGAGAAGGAGGTGGGGAAAGAGATGGGTTGGTATGAGGAGAAAAAGGTCCACCAGTGAAAGGGATGCGTCTGTGGGAGTAAAGTGGGTAATCGTGAGTCGGCGCACTCCGTGACCAACGGGTCGCGCATGAGAGGGTGGCGCAAAGTCGGTCGAGGGGAGAGGATTCGTTTGGGTCCAGGGTGCCCGACAGGAGGAGGCAAGAGAGGAGGGGGGTTAGAAGAACCCTAAGCCATAGAAAAACCCTAAGAAAACCCTAACCGGAGTTTGGGGGGTTAGCCTAGAGTAACAACAACCTAATCAAGAAAATAAAATAACAACCATGGAGGGGAGGGGGAAAAATAAATAAATAAACAGCGAAATTTCAAGATAAAAATAAAATAAAAATAATAACAGGAAAGAAAGACAGAAATAAGCAAAAGTTCAAGAGAGAAATAATCTTTATTTTTTTAGAATTTTCAGCAGCGTTTCCGTACCCCCCATGGGGTCAAAAATATGCCAAGAGGAAGCATAGACCAAGAGAAGCACACTAAGTTTCAAAACGCTGCGAATTAATTAAAAAAAAAAAAAAAAAAAAAAAAAATAAGGAGGTGAAGGAGAGTGAAGAGAAAACCATGGTTGCCCCGGACCCGAACATCCAGACACCGGACACCGGGCCCGGACTTGTATCCGGTTTTATCCGGACGTCCGATTATCCAGACATGCGGACCCAGATAGTCCAGTTACATGTCCCGGTCCGGATGTCCGAATTAAAAGGGAAAAAAAAAAAAAAACTAAAACCTGCTATGTGGGAATCATCCCCCCCCCCCCCCCCCCCCCCCCCCCCCCCCCCCCCCCCCCCCCCCCCCCCCCCCCCCCTTCCTCGGCATTCCCCTCCCCCCCGCCACTTTGCATTACACATAAGTTCAACAAACTTTCTCAATCAGACATTTGAGAAACAGATCTACCAGTTTAACACACTGCTGCACACAGGCTCCAGCCCCCACTCTCCCTTCTTAGTGTGATTGCTTGCGTCGCTTTCCGCAATGAAGAGGTTGTTCATGAGAATCGCAGTCTTCCTCCTCCGCTGCATTCTCATCCGCCCCACCACTTCCCTCCGCTGCAGCGGTCTCCTCCATGGCCTTTCGTGATCTACCCGGTGGTCGTTTAGCCGGTTTGGTAGCCAATGCAGCAGGTTGTGCTTGATAATCATCGCCCCCCCCCTCCTCAGCATTCTCCTTCCCCTCGCCACTCTCATCCATTGCAGCAGGTTCCTCCACGACCTTCCACGATCTTCCCGGTCTACGTTTGACGGGTTTTGGTGCCAACGCAGATACCTTCAGACGGGAAGCCAGAAATTTCTCGGCATGTGAATCGCTCATGGTCTTCATGGCTTGCTGCAACTTCCCTAAATGCAGCCGAGCCAAGTACTTCGACGCCTTCGTCGATTTCCGCCATGACTCGTTGAGCTCTCTCTCAAGCTCCAAGAGATTGCTCTGAATCCTTGTGCGCACCATTTGTCCCTCACCTTTGTCTCTCTCCTCCTCCTCTTCGACAACATCCTCCTCCTCATCCTCCCCATCATCATCATCATCGCCATTGCCCTCCCGCCCCTCATTCAACTCGCGAACACGCGAGCGCCATTCCTCCACGCGCATCGTAGCATCCGCAACGACCTCCTTCTTCTCGAGGTTCAAATCCTCCTCCCACAAAAGGTCATCCTCGCCGGGCTTAGGCTTCTTGGTCAACTTCTTCAACAGGTGTTGAGTTCATCTGTTGTAGATCAAGGTGTTGAGCTTGACTGTTTCATGCTTGTTCCGTGGGCGGGAGTGGATTTCATTGACAGTTGGAGGAGGAGGACCTCTGGCCAAGCAAACGGATTGCTTGCCTTTGGAGATGGGCCAGCTCGCTGCACCATTTCCTCCACCATCGTGCAGGTTGCGTCCCACGTGCTTTTTCGATCGCCTTCTCGGAGCTGAACTTCCCAACGTCGTCGATCCAATTGTTAACCTCTTCGTCCACCGCCTTGTACATCGGTCGCTTGCACCAAGAGTATACCCACGTCCAGAACCCGCATGCAACCTCCAAATCTTGCTCCGCCTTGCTGGCTTTGAACTCAGGGTCCAAAAACATTGTTGCGCAATGCAGTGATGATGTCATGGCATTCCAACACTTCATTATTATCGCCTCCAACTCGTCCTTCTCCGTTTCCGTGAAGACCTCGTTCTCTCTGAGTTTCTCCACCAAGTTGTCTATGCGGCCATAGATCTTGCTGATTGTGGGGCCATAGTCATCCACAAACTTCAAGAGATCGAGCAAGCCCCTCGAGGTCTCCATTACCTTCTCCACGCCGGACCAAAACGTGTTGTCAAGGATGCATTCGGTGGCTGCATGGAATAGATGTCGTTGTGTGGGCAGCACAACGCTCTCCTTCCATGCTGCATCAACCAAACAAGAACGAAGTGGAAGGTACAGTCGTTAAAGGCTGCTCAACATGATGAAATTTGTGGCAAACCGGGTTGCGCCCGGTTTTGCCACGACCTCCCCATTAGACTTTGAGATCCACAAGTCCCTCACGTGTGTATGATTCGTGAAGAACTTTGCAACGTCCGTTGCGCGCTTGATTGCAGCATCAACCCATCTGATCTTCGTGAATGCCTCCAACATCAAGTCGATGTTATGCGCAGTGCAACCGATCAAGAAGATATGCGGGAACTCGTCCTCGATCATGCGTCCTGCAGTTGCGCACACTGCAACATTGTCCATGACAATGCCCACGACCGCATCCTGCCCAACCTCCTCGGTTGCCCTCTTTAGTATCTCGTAGTACGATATTGCGCCCTTGTCCCGATTACTCATGCAAACACTTCTCCAAAAGATGGATCCTTTTGGGAACGAGACCATAACGTAGATGTGTGGCCTCGAGCAACGATCTGTCCAACCGTCCAGTTGCAGCAAGCAACCGGTGGAAGGTCATTGCCGCCGCAGTTCCTCCACCCTTGCTGCAACCCTCCCCTTGGTGACCTCCACACGAGTGGTCCTTGCCTTCTCGTACTACGCATTCTTGAAGGATTTGTGGGCATTCATCAACGCCTTCACTATGCTGTCCCACTCCTCGCTCTTCATCATGTTGAAGGGGATACAGTGGGCAGTCATCCAATCATCGATTGAGCGCTGCGTCTGCTCGTTCTTCGTTATGACTGTGGCACTGCCCGTGATAAAGGACCGCATCATCCCGGTCTTTGAAGTGGATGCCCCTATAGTAGTCCGTGTTGCAGACTTCGGTCCCTCTCCCTCACTTGCCTCACATTCATCCTCTTTGGAGGACACATCAACAGGTGCACCAACCCCCCCGATCTCTCTAATTTCAGCATTCCTCCCCCTTTCAACGGCCCAAGATTGCACTGTTTTCAAGGAAATGCTTCAAGGGTCTGCTTGCAGTCCTGACGACCATCCTCCCGCAATATTTGCATTTCCTGTTCCTGTTTTCTTTGTCCGTTGGGCCACTGGGTCCCAAGTCCTCATAATGTTTCTTTACAGTCTCGCAGTCGTGCTTCGGCATCCTGCAAACAGTCGAGCAAACAGCAAAGCACGACTTGTGTTAGAGTCAGTTCTCCCCCCCTTCCCAACCTCAATTTCACCCCCTCCCATCAATCAATCAATCAATCAATCAATCAATCAATCAATCAGATGATTGATCGATCGATCAACCGATTGATTGATTGATTGACGGATGGATTGATGGATCAATAGGTTGATCGATCGAATGATTGGTTGGTTGAATGAGACTTGTGCATGAAAAGGAGGGCAAACAAAAAGTTTGACCGCCACCACCAATCCATCATTCAACCAATCAATCAATCAATGAAGGTTGATTGATTGATTGATTGTTTGATTGGTAATGAATATGTTCATTACAGCTAATGAAGAGCTATGTCTGAACTGGATTGGCAACAAAGAAAAGAAAAAAACGAGGTGCCTCCATCGTTCAGTTCCCAAAAAACTGCAAGTTCAAAGAGAGAGAGGGCGATTTGACAAGAGAGAGAGAGGGACATAGAAGTGACGATAGGGAGATAGAACTGACGAGAGAGAGAGGGAGATAGACGTGACGAGAGAGAGAGGGAGATAGACGTGACGAGAGAGAGAGGGAGATAAAAATGACAAGAGAGAGAGAGGGTGATAGAAGTGACGAGAGAGAAATAGGGAGGTAGAAGTGACGAGAGAGAGAGGGAGATAGAAGTGACAAGAGAGAGAGAGAGGTAGATAGAAGTGA